TTATTATTGTTTAAATTTTTCTTTCAATTTTTATGCATTCCTAATGCAAACTTCTTACAGTTTCTTTTAATTACATATGTATTTAATGAAGATCATTTATTTTTACGTTTACATTTATCTCTTACTTGAGTACAGTAAAGCTCTCTAAGCTGACAATTAGCTAAATTATTTAGCTAGGGTATTAGATCTTATGCCCTGTATGGAGCTGCATGATATTTTAGCATTTTTGGTTGTTTTGTGTGCCATGTGTGCAGTGTTTGTTATTAATTAAATAGATGAATGTGTGTTGGGTTTTATGCTTGCTTTTGCTCTTTGCTATTGTTATTGTTGTTGTTGTCGTTGTTGTAGTTGTAGTTGTAGTTGTTAGTGCTGTCTCAGCAAACAAACAACGCACAGCAGTTGCACAATAAATAAAATTGAGTTGAATGACTTGCATGCTTTTGACAAACACTCGTTTGCACAGACACACACACACGCATACACACGTACACATACTCAAACAAAGACAAGAGGGAGGCTGGTGATTCCGTTGGGTCTGGTTTTAAGCAATATGTCAAGGCAATTTCAACTGCAGTTTACGCTATACTGACCCAACTCGTCCCAAAAGCAAACTTGGCTATAACAATAACAACAACTGCAGCAACAAGAACAACTACAACTACAACTAGAATATTTGTTTAGTTCTTCTGCGGGTCACAGTGCGTATGTGCAATATATTTGCTCCAAATTTATGACCAACATTACGAATGATGCGATGCAGCTACTCTAAAGCTGCGTATTTATTTACTTTTCATTTGGCATTGCACAAAACTTCTAAGTAAGTCGAGGTTTTTGAGATCCACACTTAAGTACAATGACGAAATATGCATATTATTTCAATATATAGAGACCAATGCCAGTATTACATGCAATGAGTTAGAGACGATCAAGTGGCAATGTAATAATGAATTTAAACTGATTGTTTAGCCGTTAGCATTGCTTAAGAGGTGTGAGAGATCATTGAGTTAAGCACAAGAGAAATTTGCCAACTCTCTTGCAATCGCATTTCACAGTACGGATAAGTGCGAGTGTGATAGCTGTAGGGCAGTAATACTGCGCTGGTGTGAGTGAGGCAGCTGTTCACCTCGAACAGAAGCATCAGAAGTTGCTGTGTAGAGTTCGAAAGGCGGGTACTCTGACTTTTCGAGCTTGTACCGTTGAGCGAAACTACTAGCAAGAATTTGTAAGTGTAAGTATGACGCCTCCGATTGCAGCACTTCTGTGTGTGAGCAGTGCAACCGATTAAACCCCATTCCAGTATAACACTTAACTGAGAGCAATTTACATAATACGTGTATGTTAATTAACTCAACTATGCTAGCTAACATTTGATCTTCCTGCTAGTGAATTCTGTTCAACTGTTCTGCTCCACTTTTCATTCAAATCGATGTATTTTTTATATACATATGTATGTATGTAAAATGACTCAAGTAGCCGTCTCTCATTTTGTTAGGCTGCGTGTGGCAGACATCAGCCGCCAAGCAGCAGAATGTAATGATGTAACAATAAACTTTTTTAATGCTGCCGGCAATGAAGTAATTAAAATATTTTAACACAGCATCAAAGTCAAACAAAGTTAAGCGCAGACACACGCCCACGAGTTTCGAGTGTGTAAGCAAGAGATAGATATTTTGAGCGAAAGAGAGAGGGAGTGAGAGAGAGAGGGAGCGAGTAAATGACGACAACACCTACTGGGCCAAGTTTTATTTATATACATAAGTATGAATTACTTAATATACAATTTAATCAGAAATTACAAAGAAAGTTGCCAACTGGAAGTAGGATATATGCCCCAAAAAAACAAGAGTTTATTTCTGGAATAAAATGTATTCGTGGAAAGCACTCAAGCGCTTTCTCATTTAAAGAAAAGGTTGTATTTCTTAAACGAAATATACTTCATATACAGTTTACATATGCTAACTGCTTTTATTACATTAATTAGAAACAATACAGAAAGTAACAGTGCTATTTATACTTACTTACTTCTTCTATGCAAATAGTGAACTGTGCTAATGATTGAACTGAGAGCGACTGAGAGCATACTCATTTAAACAGCCACCACTGTATTGGAGAATTTTGGAAATTACTGTTACCTGCAGTTGCCATTATTGCTGTTGTGGTGCTTCTTCATATATATTTGCAATGCTGAGTAGGAGGCATGTGAGTGTGAGCAGTACGACAGGCATGGGATATCTAATGGGCAATGGGAAGCGGCCATTATTTTGTTGAGCATGGGAGAGGTGCCTGAGTCAAGGAGCTGCCATTTCACGACTCTCTCTATCTCTCTCCCTCTCTGATCTCTTTTTCATTTGACATAAGTGGGAGCGAGCTGGCTGCTGATCTATTGCATTGCTCAAATGTAGTTCTCTCTCCTTTTTTGTTTGATATTTGTGTCTCTTGGGGAAAATCTGCAAATAGTAATAATTAAATATATGTATATTAAATATTTTGTACAATATTTAATAAATAAAAATGAAATTTACTTATAACTGCAATATAAATGTAATTTTTTTAAATTTCGTTAAATCGAATATATGTATATTTTAACGTTTGGGAAATGCTCATAAAAATTATTCATTCACAAATTTAAGAGCTCGCTTAACGCACAGTACATTTTGATATCTGTCATTTGAGCATAAATAATTGAAATTCCAAACGCCTTGCCAGACTTTTTCGACCACATTTTTGCTTAATTTCGTCCCCAAGCATCATTTCCTAATCTGTCTAACAAATCGATCATTAATTCTGTGTCCAATTTGGAAGTGGCGATCGTTGATAATCCATTCCTGACAAATCTATGGGCCATCGAAATTTTTGCTGCGATGGCTGTCAAACTCACAATTTCCATGGCAGGCGGTTTCACTGTTTACGTTGTGTGAACTATGACCTGTGCGGAGAGTGCTATGATCAGCATGTGGAGACGCTGGATCATCGCGTTGAGCATCCCATGCAGCTGCTGATCGAGCAGGATCGTCCCTATCAGCCGCTGCCTGAACTGCTGCTCAATGGCGAGCTGCTTGAATTGATGCATCTGCCCAATTGCTATACCTGTCCCTATTGCGGCATATTCGGGCACACGGCCAAGGAGCTGATCGATCATGTCGTGACCCTGCATCGCCAGGCCGACAGCCATGTGGTGTGCCCCATGTGCGCCGGACTGCCGGGAATCGAGCTGGTGGCCATCCGCAACCTGGCACGCCATTTGCTGCTCAACCACATCGAGCACGCCAATCTGCTGGATCCGAATACGCCGCCGCTACGTCATGCTTTAGCCCGAGCATCGCGTCGTCGGCGACGCCAACAGCAGTCGGCAGCGGGCAACCAGAATGGCAGCACTAGCCGCAGCTCAGCGCGCTCAAACAGCAGCAGCCGCGTGGACTCGGAAGCGGGCATCGACATACTGTATCAGCTATCGGAGCTGCGGCGCCTGCGTCCGGATTTGCGCTTTAGCCAATCGAATGCCAGCTACCTGGAAGGCGATTCACGTTCACGCCCTGCTGCCCTAGCCATTGCTAGCCCTGAGGCACTGACCCACGGCCCTGCCCACATAGGCGCCACTGATGGCGGCAGCTCTGCCATGGTGCTGGACCACGCGGAGGCAGATCGTTATCTGCTGCAGCAGTGGATGGCGGAGCAGAACGGAGCCGACGTGGAGGCGACTCGGCGAGACAATCACCAACGGCAGCAGCACGCGATCTTCACCGAGCACCTGCTGCTCTCCATGCTGTGCGAGGAGCAGCTGCAGCTGCCACAAAAATCCAAATCACAATCTCAATCGCAACGACAACCAGAACCGGAGCCAGAGAGCCTGCAGCATCTGCTCTTTACAGAGCTGGATGATGTTGCGCAATCCCTGGAGAGAAAGAGTGAAGATTTGCTGTCCCTGTTGCCGTGCAAGTATATACCATCCCAGATCATGATGCTGATGTCGCTGCCTTGGATCAGGCCCTGGTCGGCGCAGAGCAAGCTGCGCTATATTGAGCTGCAAGGCGTCACCTTGGACGAGAGCACACTCACGGGCGCTGAAGAGCAAGATATCGATTAACTGTTATTAGCAAAAAGTGAAAGAAAAAAGCTCCTTTCCCCCTTAAATGTATTCCGTAGTATTATATTTTTAAGCGATACGCATATAAAAATTTTATTGTGAAAATTTATCTACGCGAAGAGTCAGATTTTATTTGAATTTAGGGCAATTAATCGATATATATTTGTATATCGAATATTCATATTCATGATACTAGCTAATAATCCCCCAAATTTAAGCGCAAAGAGCTTAATCTGACCCAGCTTAGCTTAAGAGTTAGCTTATTGAACTTGAGAACTTTGTGCTTGTTAGCTATTTTTTTTTTTTTTTTTTTTTTTTTTTTTTTTCCTGTGAATTTTTGCACATCTAAATGCATATTTTACCGTAGCTGAATATTGCAGCTCCGCCTGCAAATATGTATTTTGCGCCTTAATTTCTTTTGGACTGACTTACAGAATAATTTCTTCCGCTTATGCAGTTTACTGACTGAATTTACCTGGGCAGCTGCTTAACCCCAGAAAGCCATAAATCAAATATTACTTAAGCTAATTTTAATAAAAAATAAAAATACATGTNTTATTGATATTTATATAAATGATATTCTCTTTTATATGTTTTCACTAAATTCTATTTGGCCTTTGGTCTTCGTTGGGTTAAGGTCGGCTTATTTCATGCCGTTTCCAACTCGCTTTTTGGCCATTGCCTTTTCTTACCTATCTCTGGCTGGGCTGCTGCTGCTGCTGCGTTGGTGTTGGTAATTATTTTATGGAGTGTTGCACACGGGCGGGCTGCCTTCACGTCTCCACTAGCCAGTTCCGTTACACAGCCACACCCCCTTCTGAAACGCGTCTGTGTCTGTGCGTGGCCAACTTATGTTTACCAAGTGCGAAAGTGGAAACGTGCTGCAAACACGAACTTCTCCAGCTGCAGCATTACCATACCCCCCCCCCYCCCCTCTATCTCTCTCTCTCTCTCTCTCTCTCTCTCTGCCACACTCTTTCTCGCGCCATGTCCCTTGCTCCCACTGCAGTGCTTTGCGTTTTATAATAGGATTTGAATACAATGGCATTGTAATGAAATGTGCAGCAAACGATGGCGACTGCTGAAGTTTAGTTCTGCGGTTCTGCTTTCTCGCCCTGCCAACCAGCCGTGAGCAGCTCCTCTTCGGGACTGCCATGAGTATCTCTCCATCTCTCTCACTCGCACTCTCGCTCTCCCTCTCTTATGGCATTCCGGCCAAGTACAAGCCAAACAGCTGTTGCAACGTTTTTCTGTTCCCTCTTGCAAAATAGCTGCCAAATGTAACTGTATGAGTGTGTGTGTGTGTGTGTGTGTGTGTGTGTGTGTGCCCCATTGTGTATGTGTGTCTGGCCGTGTAATTTGAGTTGGTAATTAAAAGTAAAGCAAAAGGCAGGTACTAGCAGAAGCTCTGCATTAAATGACCGGGCTACGCACACGCACACACACACGCACACACACATGCAGGTGTTTGCTAATGTGGTTATATCCTTAGAGCTTCTAAGACTGTTTACCATCGTGTCCAATATCGTTGAGTTGAAAGCGGCAAAGCAGCTCCAATAAAATGCCAGCAATTCACAAAGATTACGATTTTTGGCAAAGCTTTAAAAGATGGCTGAATAGCCAAAGAGATTCGACTATGCCCTATAATAAACATTAATAAATAAATACAATTAAATACATATATTCACTATTTTATAAACATTTCAGAGTTATCTGAATATATTAGATATTTTAGATATTTTTGATAATATAATTATTTTATTTAATTGTATTTATTTCAGATTTTTTGTTAGGGTAAATTGATTCTTTTAATGTAGTTTATAGCTCATTTAAATTTCGGCACATTTGATACGGTATGGTATTTCCATTTATTTTCTTAGTTTCTCTTATTATTATTTTTTGAATAGAAAATTGAAAATATGTAAATTTGGCTGACATTGATTCATCGAATGTCGCTGCGGCAGCGGCAACAACGATATGTGTCAGCGATAATTACAAGCAGCTTGTCAAGTATGTGCCCCGCCCCATACACCCACTCGCTATTCGCTCTGTAAACCCTTTTCCTGTTACGATATCAATTATCGGGCGTCAAGTGTCGTTCAAGTGTCACGTCAACACCACAGAACAGCAAATGGAGCAGCTCACATGACAATCATCGCTCTCTGGCTTTGGTTGTTGGCTCAGTTGGTGGCGCTGCTGCCGCTGCTGCTGCAGCTGGAGATGAGTTTGGCAGCATTTTAGAAGCGCAACTTAGAATAGCATAAAACATACTCCTCCCCTCCTCTCAGCACCCCTCACTTCTGCCAACCTCACGTACCACCCACATTTCGTCTGACTTTGATTGATTACAAAAGCAATTGAGCGCAACCTTATTCTAAAAAAAATCTCAAACCAAGAAACGAAAATAAAATTAACATAATAAAAAAAAGGAAAATTTCCTATTGACAGCTCTGAGAATGGAAAATAGAAAATGGAAAATGGTAGCGCAATTAGCTGTTTTGTGCCTTGGCGACCCGTGGCAATAGGTTAATGAGCCACGCCCCATCAATTTTTTGGCAGCAAGATTTTTCGCTTTTAATTAGCCAAAGCGAACAGCTGAAGGCGTTGCCCCAGCAGTAAATAAAAGTAAAATTCTAATTACGCTTAATTGATAAATGAATCAGCTACAGCACACTGACAGAAGCTGATTGACACGAAACCCGATGCTAATTTTAAACTCTAAATATAATCGTGCGTCATAGGTAAATTCAATTATATAAATAAGATTAAATATCTACTGATATTTTATATTTACTTTTAAAATAAAAATTTAAAAAAAATGTAAAGATTAGTGAGAAGTTTGAAAATTGGAAAATTATTTACAGAAAAAAACTGAGCATTTAAAATGTATAATCGTATAATTTTTAATTTAAAGATAAACAAAAACTATTTATACATATCTTTTTATAAATCCCAAAAAAATATTATATTTAACATTTATAAATATTGCAATTGAAAATACTAAAAGATATTTTACTTTAGTGATAAAAAAAAATTGATTGTAAATAATAATATATGATATATTAGGCAGTAAAACAAAAAAACACAAAAAAAAAAAAAAAAAAAAAAAAAAAAAAAAAAAAAAATGTTTGAGCAATAAATATATTTAATCATAAATAATGTTAATTAAAATTTCCCATTTCTGTTTTTTTTTTTCAATAAGACATAATAATTCAAATAAATTTAATTGCTTAGCTAATCATCTATCTATCTATCTATCCATTGGCTCGCTCATGGCCAACAACATCAATTGAAACGAGCTAATTGCTGCAGTATTTAGTCGAGTTGCACTTGGACTTGCTGCAAATGTTATGCTCTGGCTAAATCTTAACTGTGCTTGGTCAGATGTGTCAACGGGCCCGAGCTAGCCACAGTTTATTCAAAGTTGGAGCTGACAGTCGGTCGGTCGGACAAACTGTTGTCAGATAATTGTTAGCCATCAAGTCGTACCACAAATCAAGTGCAGCAATTGCAGCTGGCCTGCAATTCATTTGTGGCATGGCAACGGGTGTCGACTAGTCGAATGGTCGAACGGTTGTACCCTTATGCAAACCAGAGACAAACCGCATGCAAAGTTGCCAACGTAACCAAAACAGTTGAAACCACGAAGCAACCCTGAAACTCGTCAGAGTAAAGTTTCACAACGAGAACGACGAGCAATGGGAGCATTAGTACTCAATGCAGTTGGGCACCAAGTGGGTGCGGGTTGTGGGGTGTGTGGTGTGTGGTGTGGGGTGTGGGGTGTGGGGTACTGCTTTCAGTTCCATTAGGCGGCATTCGACGTGACTTATCAAACTCCCAGAGACGGCCATTCATCAGCATTAGAGAGAGCGCTGTGAACTTTTCAACTACTATTACTTCGCATTGGGGCATATTTAATGTACAGATTTATAGATTCTCGCCGACTCTAAACAATATCTATCATTAATGTCAGGCATAATGGGCGGTGGGGCGTGCCCCGGCTTGGCCTGGCAGCTCAAATCCTTTCAGTGTCAGTTTAGCAGGCAAACTGCGAACCAAAGTCAATCCGGTTCACAATGTCAGCCACAATAATGAACATAAAGCAGAGACGCCCGCCCGTCTAGCGGAGCGGAGGCTGTGAGGGCCATTAGGGCCGCCAACAGGACAACATTAATATTAATTTATTTGTATAAATTATTTATGAAATTTTGTCAGTTTCGGTAATTACGATGCGCGTCGTCGACCTATGAGCTTTTAATTAAAACCTCCACGTTGACAACTGAGTGAGCCCTTCAGCCCGAAGATAAAATAACCAACTGAAGCGAATTCCTCATAAAGTGCGCTCACACATAAAAAAGAGATACAGTGTTGAGCTTTGGGATGTGGCTGTGGGTGTGGGTTTGCATTTGCGATTGGCACAGCAACAAAGTCCAAAAAGGCAGAGGCAAACAAAGAAGCAAGAAAAAAAAAAAAAAAAAAAAAATTATTATCAGTGCATGTGAAGACAAAAAATTAAGAAAGCAAAAGTTTTGGCGACAATTCCGACGCACTTTTATGGCTCGACTTTGTGAGTGTAAATGAAGATAACACGGCCTTATCCCATGTCGCTGTTAGAGATGAGCTGACAGAGCTTTGCACAATGCAAACTATGCTCGATTCAGTTCGATTGTAAAATAAGCAGCAGGAGAATGTAAAAGGGAAGAGAAATTGGCAATAGTCAGAGACTGCATTATATATAGACTTTGCTGGGTTATTGGAGGGAAACTATGAGGCAGTCAGGCTAAAGCACTGTATGTTTATTTATTTATTTTTTTTTAATAGTCCGTTTATAACAAACTTTGAATTTATAAATTCTATGTATTTTTTATTTTTCAACTATTTGTCTTCCAAATTAAATAATAATTATTGAATTGCTGCATTGATTTATTTTTGAATTATGAATTATTCTAATATAAGTCATCACAGTTACTGAATTACTGAATGTTGATTTACTGTGCAAAATAAAAAATAGTTTGCTGATAGTGATAAG